CTAAACCCACAGAGGATTTAACAGCTTCAACACAACAAAAAGCCTCACTGAGCACCCTTATGCTTTGGCAGGTATATAATTTATTGATGTCAGTAGAAAATTATAAATTGATACAAACTGGAAAGAGACTGAAAATATATAAACCACGTAAACTGGTTTATATTTGTCAGCCTTGTAGGTAATGTGGTAACTATGATGCACGTATTTTCTCATTCCAAAAACATATCAGTGTTCCCTTGACCCATGTGCTCTGAGCATGTCAGTAACTTTACCTACTGCTCATATAAAATCACAAGAAAACTGCTCTGTACTTCCTGAACTCTACAAGAAGTGGAACTTTCACCACGTCATGCTGATGTGACAGTGTGATGCAGTCAATTAGTTCAGATTTTAAAAAAAAAATGTTTCGAAAATTAGACTTCTGTATTTTACACATTTTTAATCTTTGCATTGGAGGAGAAGGAAAAAAATTTGGTGAAGCAAAAGTTTTCTTCTTTAAAGAAAACAGGGTCAGAGAATTGCTTCTTTATTGTTGTCAGCAATGTTTTCACACATAAAATAGTTCTCTCAAATAAAGCTTAAAACTGTCTATTATCTCAAAATGTCTTAGTCCCTCTCCCAACTCCCAGAGTAAGGAACCCTGTATCCCACTATATTTCATTATATAGTTTCATTAGTATAAACATGGTTACAAATCACAGTAATGTAAAACTGTCATTGGCAACCTCTCCATTTGAGCCACAAATGCCTGCATTGGAAATAAATGTTCAGGGTTTTTTTCTAGTGTAAAATACACTACAGCTTTAGATTCTGTGGAAAAACTGTCAGACATTTTGGTTGGGGTTTTTTGTAGGTTATACCTATAGTGTGGAAATAATCTTTATGCTCTAATTTGCGCAGTATCTGGCACAGTGTCAGCTAGTTCACAGCTTGGGCTTTGAAGCATTACAGCAATGCAAGAAACAAACACTAAAAATACATAATTATAGATAATTCACTATATCCAGCGGCTCTCACAGCTAGACTTGAGCTGGTTTCAAACTGGAAGCCATGCAAACATATTACCACAGCACTGTACTCGGTCTAGCAAGTCCAAGATCCCAACAGGGATCATCAGCTTGAGCACAGCACTGCACTAACCTGCCTGTACAGCTTCCAGTCTGCCATGGGCTCACATCCCACTGGCCTGGAGCCTGGGAAGGTCGAGTCTGTCTGGAGGAACACTCATAGTTATTTAGAGTAGCATGAGGAGCCATTCAGACACAGAAGCTCCACTTGCACATTTCTCATTCTACAGCCACAAGTCTTCACATGAGCAAGTCAGTCCAGACCCACTTGTAAACTGCAGCTATTCTGCTCTGCTTTGGCACAGCAGACTAGTTCTTTTTCCTAGAAAGTCTGCACCACTTTGGCACACTAAACAGGCCATTAAAAATTAAAACAAAAGAACTGAACTTCACAGCATTAAAATGCCAAACTAATTTTCCATAGCTTCAGATCACTGAAACACAGAGAAACACAGTGAGAGTAGGTAATACCTTCTTAAAGTGCTCCATGTATCAGTCCCAAAGAGAAAACATATTCCATGACAAAAGGTTAAAACAAAAAGAAAATCATCTTTCTGGATATGGATTGATAACATGAGGGAAGGAAATGGCAATCACAGATTCATAGAATTAGCTCTGACTTTGATTGGGTTTCTTCGAACCAGTCACATATGGAAAGAGATCACCACATTATACAAACAACATTCCTTCTGTCTTGTGACAGGACAATAGGCAGAATGAAGGCATTAAAGAATCTACCAGATTTTTAATTGTAAAAATTAAGTGCCTTAGACATAACTGTGGGCTGTTTTGTGGTATTGCTGAATGCAAGTATAAGAAGAAATCCAGACACATGCATTTCTTGATTCAACTTTCCAAAAAACATTCAGTGCTACAGAGGGTGACTGCACTTTCCATTATAAGTGGTTTCATAATCCCCTCGTAGAGTTCCAATGCTGACAACAGGCAAAAACTGCAAGGATAATTTCTTAGTTTATGGTCACAAATCCCCGTCAGTTTTTTAAATAAACAAATATATAAGTATGTGCATACAGCAGTTAAGGGAGGGAGAAGGATTTTACTCTCGTGGAAGGAGGTGGGTAGATAAATCCTGGAGATCTGACACTTTCTACAATACAGGAAACTCTGGCATAATCACTATTTCCCTCAATGTTTCTTAGCTCTTCCAAGATCACTGCTCACGTGTCAACTCTAAATGCCATACATTAAATATCTGTAAATCACAGACCTGTCAGGATGAGATTTTTAACTGCAGAATTGAGTCAAATTAAGGTATTTCAGTAGCAGTTAAGGTAGTTTAGTAGCAGTTAAAATGAAGAAAGCAACAACTCTGACCTAGCAGAGGGGCTCACTTCCTGCTAGAAATCGTAGGTAACATTCATTCCTTCCCTCGTATTGTTTAGGGACTTTCTGAGTCCACCTTTCCAAGTCAGGCAGAAACTGCAGTAAAAATCAAGGAAGCTCAGCCCACCTAAAAAGCACAGCATTGCATTCTAAGAAGAAATGTCTTCAGACACTAATGTGGCACTCAAATGTTGGACGCGATCCACTGTAAACAATATGTTTTATGTAAGATTTAACCAAAACCATACCCTGTTTTCTACATTCCCACAATCTTGGATTATTTAGGTTACTGGCACAGAATTGCAGCTTTCCTCAGGACAGTCAGCCCCATGGGTCAACTGGATTCCTTTGAATATTATTAGCTATAGTTTCTGAAATTTTAACCATAACTCTCTTCCACAGAAATGTTTGCGAATTTTTCTAGAACGAATTCAGGCTATTTAATTTGTCATTTTCTGGTGCTGGTTCTTCCTTTTTTTACAAGGTTTTTCTTCTTAATTTGACAATGAAATTAAAAAGACTGGAAATAATTATTATAACGCATGACACTACAACCAGTACCTATATTCTCATCTTAACTTTCATATGCACACCTGACACAGTATGGTATTTTCTAGAAATCTCTACCCCCTTCTGGCAACTGCAGCTAATCTTCAGAAACAGAGCCATAAGGCAGGAATGGACTTATAAATTAGACTTCAGCCTGAGCCAGCTGCTTTTTTCTAACATTATTCCCTTTATGACCATCTGTCCCACCTGCTAACACATTTTTCCCCTCACACAGACTTTCCACTACAATGATTTGCCATCCTGGCTGACATACAAGTATCAATAGAAAAGAACTTGGATTAAATCCAGCTTTGTGCCACCCAATATGTGGAGCTTTGGTAAGGCACCTGCTTGACTGCTGGTATAATTAAATCTGCCTTAAGTCTGCTTCAGTTTATGCCCAGTTCACCTATGACCCAAACACCACCACAGTTGGTTGCCACTTTATCTTCCTTCTGCACTGCCTCAATGAGTGAAAGAAGGAGCTTAGTGTTGTTACACAAGAGTCTCCTCTCCATAAAGCAATTCTTGCTCTCAGATACACTGGCACATTCCACTGAATGAATCTACTGAGATTTATCTTGTCTGTCTGTTGAAGGTGAATTCGCAAAACTCCGCACTCCACACTTGTGAACTCTTGGGATTTCAAACCTGGCTGCATGCCTGGTTTTGTCAGCATTTTCTGAATCATCCTAAATTTTCCTCCTTTGGCAGAATTGCCAGAGACACACAATGCAAAGAAATGAGGAAGAGAAGAACTGGGAAGGGCTGAGAATGAGGAAATAGAAATTCAGTGGCATGTTGCTACATGGTGAAATTCTGTAGTCCTGGACTCTCAAGAATTCTTTGCTGTTCTCAATGACATCAGCACTGGTATAAACCTTATCAAGGAGTCCAATTTAAAACATTTATTCCAGCACTCATTTTTCTTATCTGCTTAAAGCCTGACAACTGAAAGGGAACTAGCTACTTTAGCAAAGTTCAGAAGACTGCATAGCAGTGACACCACCCAAAAAAATCAGGAAGAACATGACAAAGTGTATAATTATAATTCCATTTTGTGTACTGCTGACAATAGTCAGAAATAACAGGAAGGGGACTGCTGAAAAAGCACGAGTGAGGTCACCTTTTTCTGGGTACTACTTTTATATGTCTGCAAAATACAGATGAGGCTTTTTAAAGGCTGTAAGTCAGGGAAAGAGAGGGAGAGAAAGAATTACAGATGTGTGACATAAGGAATAAAGGCAAAAGAAGTATAAAAGGCAGGAAAAAAGGAAATGAGCACAGTGCAGAATTCAAAGGAGCACGTGCTGACAGGCTTCACATTTCCAACAGAAAACTGGAATTTGACATCTGTGTCCATACAGTGTTTAAAATGAGCTCTTAGTTACTTCCACTGCATTCAGGAAGGAGGAAGAAGAAAAGAATGATATCTTAACTGAGCTCAGTTCTAAGCATAAGATTAAAATAAAAAGAGAGGGATGCAATTTCATGTCAGTTCCTGGCAGCTGCTCAGCATTCATTATTACCATAGCTCTGTTTGCTTGTGGAGTGCTCATAATGTGGCAGAGTTGCAGAGTGCTTTGGAGTCCTTCTGAGATCCTTAGCTCTGCAACTTTAGGACCAGATGGAAAAAACCTTCTTTTGAACACCATTCATAATGCCAAAGTTTAACAAATAATAGAGTGCTACAGAAATGTTGTTTGGAAAAAAGACCTTAATGGGGGAAATCAATCTTGATTTCTATTGCATTCGAAGCAGATAAGAGTAAAATTAAAGCCACCTATCTCATTTTAATTTTAATTACTACTAACCTTTTAGCTAGTACCAGAAATTGTAATAAACTTCTTCTTGTAACATTCTTAATTTCTACATAGAAAACATGTTCAGCAAATGCAATTTACATAATTATTTACAGAATTATGACAGTCAAGCGTGTCAGTAGCTCTGAATGCCTGCACAACAATCATTACCATGTTATGGATACTGGCTGGCACCATCCACTGAAACGCTTCAGACATCTTTTAACAAAAAACATACCTTGAAAGAGTCAGTCACATGCTTTGCTGTTTCTCCTGAACATCCTCCTCCCGTGCACTCATTCTGACAGCCCTAGAAGAAATAAAACCAGAGGAAATCAAACCCAATGCACATTGCAGAAATGTTGAAACACATTCAGTTAACTCATTTTAGGGACAGATTGCTTTGAATGACCATTCAAGCTTCATCTTCAGTAAGTATATTAGCAAGAACTTTGTGGTAGTTTCCTAGCACAACTTTCCACCCTTTAGGTTTTTTAGTTATGCTTCAATTGCATTATTTTGCACAATGGTGTTTCAGGGCTTTCTAGGAGAGACAACATCCTAGATCAGATTATCACTCTGAAGCGCAGAAGGATATGGACAACATCACAAGTCTTTCATTCAAAGCTAAACAAATAGTGCTTTTACACAATTTCATCAGAGTCAAGTTTCTCTACCAGAGTATCCACCTAACAGATTCACTTTTGCCTGTTCTCAAAGAAGCCTGAGTAGGTAGAGTGAAAGGAAAAAGAAAAAATTGGTTTTATTTAATCTTTCATTAAAAAAAGATAGTGATAGGGAATGCCCACCTATATGAATAAATAATGAGAATATTTTGAATTATATACTATGTTGAACTTCAGGCTTTTGCCACTGACTATGTTAGAAAGGAACTGGAACAAAAAAAAAAAAAAAAAAGGAGTGCTAGTTCCAGGAATCCTTCTGTTCAGCAACAGAGGGATCACACAGACAGAGACACTAAGGCATGTTGTTGCCAGGGTTGACAGCAAGAGACTTTAAGAGACTTTCAACCCTCCAGGTGAAAAGCCCTACTTCGACCCTACACTGGCTGCTCACCTCTTGGTGGCTGCTTCCCACCCTGCCCTTGCTGCATCTTGGGTGGGAAGTCCCAGGTCACAGGTATAATTCCCTGAAGGAAAGGTGCACAGGAAACCTTTCCTGGTCAGCCTGTGAGATCCCTGCTCCAAGCTCTTAACCAAGGAGCAGCCCCCACCCTACAAGGAGGGCTGCGTGCAGGTGGATGGCTGTGTCAGGGAGACAGCAGCCACCAAACTGTGTGGCCAAGGGTGGGACCAGATGGAGCATGGGCACTGGAGCATGGGCATTGAAGCATGACACACACAAGGCAAATAACATTATTCTTTTCCCTTTCTGCAGATCTTGGGGATATGGTACAGAAAAAAAAAAAAAGCAGTATCTTCAGTGGGCCTTCAACAGACTGCAGGCTTGCTATCAACAAAAGAAAAAGCCAAACTCCCAGCCACAGCAGATCTCACTTCCTCTCCCCTTACCCTCAAGGCCCCAGGGAGCCCACAGCATCCCTCCTGCCTTCTCACCATCAGCTTTAACCCTTCTCTTCCTCTTTATTTTTAACCCTATACAGAGAGACAGGCAATCATGGCTACAAGATCCTTCCTACCCACTAAAGGAGAATCTGTCAAGAGAAACCACAAATCTCTTTACAATGTACCAATATGCTTTTCCTTTTACTAAAAAATATGGGGGGTTTAGCTTGAAAGCTTAGTGTTTTCTACTCCAGAAGGACAAGACTTCAACAGAGTGTTCACTGGCATTCATGTCAAACCTTAGCAGGACTAAAGTGTTATCCAAACCGAGGGACTCTCTGAGGGACATTGTATAATAGTATGTCCTTGCTTTCCCTGCAATTCTTCAAATACTTCCAAATTCAGTGTAAAACCCCCAGAAGGCCTTCATGACACCATCAGTTAACAATAGTTAAGTATCCTGCAGATTAATTAAGCCAACTGACTTTTCTTTGCAGTGGAACAAATTAGGATGGAGAGCGTGCTGGTTACCAGCTAACACGGATGGGAACTGCCAGCTGTGGAACAAGAATGTCTCAAGGAGCTCCAGTTCCACTGCTGGCTTTTGTCTAATATCTAGCATGTCAAGTTGGATTTTCTAATAATAATTACTGATGTCAGCAAATACTGACAAATGCTCAACCATTATGCTTCACTTTCTTCCCGTCTCTCCTTTAAGAAGTTGCCCTAAAGCAAGTGTTGGCATCAACACAGAGAGGACAGAAGCTGGATACAGTTTAATATCCTCTTTTATGATCTTTTTTAAAGATACCAAACTAGTACATGAATTTCAAGTACAGACCACCTACAGGAGCAGCCCCTGGGGGCTCAGTCATGTTGCCCTTCAGTTCAAGGTTCCCATTAAACTGAGTGAAGTCAACAGCCCAGTTTTTGGGCGTGTGCCATGGGGCCAATCCTATTCTCCATGAAGTCATTATGTTTTACAGATTTAACTCATGTTTAAAGCAAGTAGCTAACTGCCTTTGTTAACCACATTGAGATTAAATTGAGTTAATCCCTCGGCACTAGAAATGCATTACACAATTACTTTCTAATTGATGGAGTCATATTTTAATGGCTCCATGGCTTATAAATCTGAAGCCTGCTAAATGCAATAGGGAAAATTGCTCCCTGATTAAGTGCCATCATTGCCAAGGGATATATGCCAAGCATAAATCTGCCCTTTGTGTTTAATAGCATGGTAGATTTAAAACTGCATCCATTAAAACATTGATGTTATCCTAAAGATACATTTGAAGCCACTGGGTCAACATTTTCTCAAAAGTCACTCAGGACTGTATAAAGTTGCCATGAAATTACACAAGCATGACAGTTTTACACAAGCATGACGTATTTCCTATGTCATGTTGTAGAACTATGGTATATGTAACCACTTTTTGTAAATTGAAGATAGAACAGTATTTCAAAGTTTTCCTTCAAAAATACACATTCATTTTACCATTCCTGTAAAGCCTATATGAGAAAAAAAAGTGTAAAGCATTATTAGATTAAACTCTATTAAAAAAATGGGGTTTATGTGTCATTTTATCGCTGTGAAATTCTACTAAATTTTTTGCTTAATAGTTGTCATCTACACTTCTGCTAGAGGTTTCCCAAACCTGGACATTCAGCTCCTCTATTTGGTCTTCAAACTGCCTTAGACATACAGCTTTTCAACATCTTTTAGCACTGTGACCCTGCAATCACTGTCTCTTGGCTACCCTGCTGTCTTTGGCACACCTTCTCTACGTCTTCTATGCAGTCAGATCAGTTATCCTTCAGCTGAAAGGATTCATTCTGCTACAAAAATAGGCCCATCTCCTCCCCAGATTCTCTAGGTTTCCTAGAATGCATGAGTCTGCCTTCACTTGTCCTGAGCCTTCACATTTAGTGGCTTTTGAGACACCAATTCTTTCTTCTCATTTGGGACTATCTGTTCTATAAACTGCAATTCCAACAGATGCTTTGTCAAGCTGCTGTGCTTGGGTTTTAGATACACCAGTATTTCATTGGCTCACCTTCAGTAATGAAACAGGAACTGAAGATTATCAGAAACTTCATCACTGTAAACCTATGCTGCAAACTGCATTTCTTTATCTAAAGTGCATGAGATCATTTAATTAATAATAAAAAAAAAAAAGGTTCCAGTTCTCAAACATGTTTTGCAGTTACCTCTATGTGCCATGTGCTTTGTCAACCTTTTTCAAAGAAAACTGATTCTTTAATCAGTTCCACGCTCATTAATTTTCCCTGTTTGGTAACTCTTCTCACTACTGGGGAACAGAAAACTTTCCCTAGCAGAAGGCAGGAGTAAAGAAATAAACTGCCAATAATTTCTGCAGAATTCACACTTTCAGCTAGGAAATCATTTTGGCCACTTTTCAAAACAACTCAAGGGCTGCAGCTTCAGAAAATCCTTAGTCATCTTTTTTGGTTTCACCAGTCAGTTTATCGAAGTCAGCCCACAGACAGCTCCAATGCCTCCACTCTGAGTGAGAATTTCATCAACAGCACCACCACCCTGATAGAGAACTACCACTGACAGGGAACATCTGAAACCCCAAATTCATGCCCATGAAAGAATCACAGACAGTGCTTTTTTGGGCAAGCATTGGCCATTCACGGAGGAGGAGAACCATCCATTAAAACAACGACAAAGAAGCGAATAAACAACAGATGCACAGCTGTGACAGCACAGAGTTCCTTCTACCAAGGCAACTCCATCTCCTGCTACACAGAGAAACTTAAAGCCAGGACTATCTTGTAGCAGTCATCAGGCCCCAGCAAAGTCAGAGCAGGAGTTTCCTCCGAAGTCATATGAGAGACAATTTTCAACAAAGAAAGTCCTTTCTGAGACATTTCTCCAAGCTAAAACAGTGTCTTACCGCTTTTTCCCATGTTTGTTTCTGGCTGCTAAGTGTCTAAGAAATATTTCATCCTTTAATTTGCACTGGAAGGATAATGAAATTAGAACACTTATCAGATTGCAGGAATATAGCAGATCAGAATAAATTCAGTGCCCAACCCATACTATGGTACTGCCAGAGGCAAGGCAAGTGAGGGGTGTGATGACCAGCACTTGGTCATTCAAAGCCACCCAAATCACAGTTGCCTTTCTGGACCAGGTATAGAATAGACTCCAATGTGCACAAATGCCATATATTCTGTGTATTGCTACAGTCTTATAAAAGCACTACCATGACTTCAGAACAGCTTTCATCTCTTCCAAAGAAATATTAATATGTGTTGGCAGCCACACCACATAAAAGATGAATTTGAAGAAAAATGAAACAGTAATGATGTTCACAGCTTAAAAAAAAAAAATTCCACACACTGTCAGACAGAGAGAAATTCTGAAAAACTGCTGTAGGGTCGAGTCTTACAATACTATTTTTAATATCAACTAAAATATATATTTATTTAATGACATTTGTGAAAGACTTCCAGAGTTTAAGAAGGTCATTTATGGAATCCAGCAGCCAAGTACGTTAACCTCAGCTGTCATGGGAGTTGATGCATGATATAAAAATATTTTAATTCTGTCTTTATATTGCAGGTATGTGAACAGGAACACACACCTATATACGTGTTACCGTGCAAGTGTCTCCAAGTATCTTCCTTGTGCTGGGTCATTTACATGACAGAGCAGCACAACTTACCCACCAATGTCTTTTAAATCTGCTCTTTACAAAACCAAGAGGAAAGAAGCAAGATGACTTATTCTTAAAGGATATTTCTAACCACT